TTCAGGGGATTTGTTTGATTCCCTTTCCCACAGAGTTAATAAGAATGATTTTATGTAAGAAGAGCTGAAGGTATTTGTGAGTCTTTTGCACGTAGGACAGACATTGCCACATTTCAGCTGCCAAGAAATGCTGCTACATTTTCTCCTACCATGGTATTAATCATTAATGGCTTTGTTCTCAATGAACAGCCTGAGTATCTTCAATGATGCTCTTGTGAGTGCTAATGCTTTGTGGTTGCAGTGAGAGCATCACATGAGAAATGTGTTTGTTCAGAGAGGAGGAGATGCACCACAAACACAGCATTCTGACCCAGACCAGATTTCAAATATTCCTAAGGACAGGTGTGCACAGATAAAGATTTTTAATTTGGCCTCATCTCTAGGTTAAGCACTGGACCCATGTTAGGAAGGATTGCACTGGGGGCAGTCAATTTTCCAGCAGCAGCAACTCCATTCAGATGTCAGGGTATTTTGCTACAACAAAGGCTGATGTTGACATTTTTTCTTGGATAGAGACAGATGCAAGAGCTTCTGCCTCAAGGTTATCCATTATACTGTATATTAACTAGATGTTTTAACACTGGGCTTCCTGCAGAGACAGCAGTGAATGATGATTAATACTTATCAATTAAAATCTAATCTTTTTCCCATGTGTATTTATATGCCGAACTTCAACCTACAAGGCAATTCTGTGACAGGAATTAGATATTCTTTTGTTGGAGAGCACTGGAATTATGGTCAGGGATGTATTATTCACTCGTTTATTATGACTATTGCATTTGTGCCTGGTTTTAGCCTAGGCATTGTATATAAACATAGTGTCTGTGAAAAGGAGTTTATAAACAATTGCCATTAAAGGGACAATTATTTTCTCTTTCTTCATGTAGCAGCTCTGAGTAGGAGGTGAGGGATGGAGGAGAGAGGAAGCAAAGGTTGTACATGTTTTATGACCATAATTACAATTAACTATTTGAGAGATTAAAGTTATATTAAATTTTAATTATAATTTACTATTTCAGAGATTAAAACTGATTAAAAAACACTCAAGGTTATGAGGTACCTCACAGATCAATGAGTTATCTAGCTCAGTCTAAACATACAGATATAAATCTTTCTTTTTTGTTTTTCTTTTTCCCTTTTAGCCCAGCCCAGCTGAACAGGCAGTGCCCACGAGTGCGGTGGGTGCCTCGCAGCCCGCAGCCGCCGGCGCAGCATCGCAGCCGCAGAGCTGGCCCACGGGCCATGGTAACAAAGAGCTCCAATCCCGCAGCCGCGGAGCGGGAGCATCCGCTGGGAGAGGGAGAGCTGCTCGCGGGAGCACAGGGGAAGGACGGGCTCCAAACGCGCCGTGTGAGAGCAAAGGAGAGGCAGAGGGATTTTCATTTCGAGCTCTCCTTGGCACGGTTGTTAAACACCACTCCATTCAGATGCACCGTGCGATAACCCTGGTTCAGAGCGAGAGGCAGGGCGGAACAATAACTGAAGGAGGCCACTCACAACCCTGGTGGAGAGTCTTAAAGTGGGCAGGTGATCTGGCTGGTTAGTTCTGATTTATTACAAAGGCATCTTTATGCTTTTTGAATTCCCTTCCATCACTCATGTTAAACAAAACTGCATTCTTATAAGGCACTTCATCCCCTCCATGCATGCACACGCTCATCGCTCATGTCACGCTACCAGCAAAGGCATATGAAGGAAGTGCAGTTATGTGATGCCTATTACAAAAATCTTTTTTGTTTATTATATTGGAAACAAGCACTTCAGTCAAGCTGCTAGGAACTGGTTCAGGTTTACGGTACTGTATCGACATTATCAGAGGCTGATGGTGACTGTTAAAGGTGCAAGACTTTTTCTGGTTTGCAGCAAAATTCCTTTTCATGACTTGTCCCAGAAGGTCTTTGTTTTTAAAAAAATATTTTGCAAATGAATTCTTAGCAGGGAGAGGTGTGGAATTATGGGAATGAAAGGGCTTGTGGAAACATCATCTTTCCATTTTGTAGTTTCTGATGTGACATTCCTTATCACAAGGGAAAGAGGCACTTCTGCAGCTTCCCTACTCCTGAGCCTCCTACCAGCTCAGAGAGGCATCACAAAGCCACTCACTATTCAATCTCCATTTCATTTCTTGTCGTTTATTAACACAACCATACTGTTGTGAGAGCTCGGCCCATCCCTTAGTAAAAGCCTTCAAAGTGGCTGGAACAACTGGTGAAAGAATGATAAACATTTTCAGCTGAAACTGGTCAGATTATGGATGAGTTGTTTATAAACATCTCATCTAGAACTGTCAGGAGGTGGAGCTGACATCATTGGAAGATGATAAATTCTGACACGGTGCTCTGAGATTCCACTGCCACCGAATGTAGGTTAATATGGGATTCAATAGGAAATCTGGCTTGTGTATTGCTGCATATTACAGGAAACGAAGGAACTTGTCATTTGTCTGCAGATTGCTAATTGCAGTTTATTGCACATGCAAAAGGTTAATTTGAGTATGTTATCACAGTAATCACATGCACTGCCTCAGATTAAACTATACCCCTACACTAACTGATGAGCTGGCCTGTGGGATTTGGGACATTATTTTGTAATACTATGGCAAAATAATACTAACTATTATGGCAAATAAGAATTTTGAGTAAATGCTGTAAGAGTGGGAAACAGTGTCTTTAAGTGCAAAAAACCAGAGTTATAAGTCTCTGGTATGAAATACTTTCCCTTAACCCTTAATTTAATTATTCCCTGAGATGCACGTAATTTATTCTTTGTGATAATTGAAAACAGAAGACTCATCTATTCTAAATGAAAATTATATCCTATTCTTATTATTGTTAATGCTTTGTATTTAGAGGAGCATTTAAAGGGCTGAGATGAATTCATGACCTCTTCATGCTAGGTGCTGTATATATACACACAGTAAGCTCACTGCCCCAAAGACCTTACACTTTAATTAAATAAAGGTTGGAGGAAGGAAGTTTTATTACTTCTGTCACAAATGGGAAATGATAACAGAGAGAAACTAAAAGGACTGAGAATTACACTCCTCCTGCACCGAGTCCTGTATTTGCCTGTAATATATCCTCCCTTCCTGCTTTTGTTAAGTTGCTGTAAATTGCTAGGTAGATGGTTGGTCTCTCCCCCAGAGATGGAGTTTAATTCTGTGCATGTTTCAAGGTTTTATGGAACCAAAGGTGTTCTGTAGATAGATAACACTTTAATTTAGACCTGATTAAGTTAGTCTGAAGCAATACTTTTGTGGAGGGAGTAGATTTGTATGAATCTGGTGCACGTTGCTTGTTGCCATATGAACATGCTGCTGCATAGCTGCTGTGCTCCCCGGGGGCTGCGCTCTTGGTGCATGGGGGTTTTAAGGTACACCAATATAACTTTTTAATTGTTATTATTCCCTCTAGTTTGCTCTTAAATGTCTTCCAAAATAGTAAAAAAGTAATAGGCTTGAGATGTTGGAGCATTCCACAGGATTCATGGGGTTCTTGGAACACCGGTGCAGGCTTAGTCTCCCAGAAATGTATCTTCATCTCCCCCTCCTCCCTGGAAGTGCTGTGCTCATTCTGAAGTGCATTTTAAGCATTTTTAATTGGAGCTTCTAGCATAGCATTAAAAATAAAGCCAGCTCTGCCTGGAATCTTGCTTTGTGAATTTTATCTACAGAGGAACATAAACCTGAAGATAACTTGTTTCCTTTTTTCTCCTTGTTCAGTACAGTACAGTGATCTGTTTAAGCAGATGGGGTAGGAAGGGGAAGGGAGAAAAAAATTGACAAGTCAGGTGAAGAAACAAAATAAAGAACAAGTAAAATCCAAGCACAACCCAACCACTCTCATATCTGCATTTCATTACTTATGACTTCCACTGTTGGACTCCAACAACACTAAGTCCCCACAGTGATGTGTCTTTCCCTCATCTCATCTCTGTCCTGTCTTGCCCCTGTCTGGTAAATGGGTACAGTGATGTTCTGTCTCACAGATTTTAGACTCCTTGAATTAAAAAGATTGCAAGGAATCAGGCTTTTAAAAAATTTGATTTTATTTAATAAAAAAGAGTATTATTTTGTTGTTATAAGTTTTATGGATGCCTGAGCACTTATAAGTGATCTCTTGTTTACCCTATGGAAACCAGCACTGCTGCCTATGCAAGTAAATCTGTAGAATAAGTAATCTTTTAAATATGAAACTTCAGTTTCCTTAGTTGATGGGACAAGCTCAGCACTTAGGAAAACACATCACCAGTGTGTTCCCTTGCTGAAAAACAATCCACTGGAGCTTTGTTATACAACATTCAAACATCCTGGCGAAGTGACAGTAATTTGCAATAAACACTGTATGTAAACAATTACCTGTGACTTGTTACACTTGTTTGTACAGGCAGCTGGCTAAACAGACCTGGGTGCACTTGTAAACGTCTGTCCCTGTCACACCTGATACTGGAAAACAGTTGCTTGTTATATGATTACTCTGAAAAAATCAGGGGTTTCTACCTGACAGCTGGCAAGGACTGAGTATGGATGCTTACAGACGGAAAAGAGACAGAGAAATCAAATGCGATGGTGGTGTTTTTATGACAATGGTGAGGGCACGTTGATGTCTAATCCTCCCCTCAAGGAAGGTCTTTGTGACAGAGTACTTGACGAAAAAAACACTTTTGCTGGTTGAAGGGTCCTGTGGTGGTAGAGGTGAAAGAAAGTCATTCGGTCACACAAGGTCCAAGAAGAGGCAGAGGTGGTTTATTTTCCGGTGGTTTAGCAAGGCGGTGTGAGATGCTGGTGATGCTAGGCTGGAGCAGCTGTGCGGGAGGCGCTCCCACCCTCCGGGCTCTTTATGGGCGGAAACGCGGGGAGCTGGGACCGAGCTGTCAGGGCGCTCCGGCCGGCAGGCGCTGCCGGGGGCCGCAGGCCCGCACCGGGACACGGCTGCGCTCGGCCCAGGGCCGTCACCCCGCGCCCGGGCCGC